AAAGCTGAGGTTATTGTGATAAAATTGAATCGTCTTCAAAGTAAATAAATATTAATTTATTATACTGTTTTCCTTCTTAGTTATTACAGGCATTATTTGGTAGAGGAAGAAGATAATAGTTTCAGGATAAGTAATAAATTGTACTTTTGCATTAGAAATGTAAATCCATGTACTTGGAGAGACCGCACCCTTTTTCAGTTTGTCCTGTTTCCAATTAATTGCTCATACTCTCAGTAGAATTCTGAAGTTTCAAGATAATTTTTATAGCAAATCTCTTCCAAAATGTAAATTTACACAGTGTAAGGCACAGATATGTTGAATAATCTAGTGTAAAGGTATGGGCATTAAAAGATTTGCCCTTAATATGTTTCAATATGTATTTTAAATAAAATAAGTATCATTTAAATAAAAATGAAGTATCTGCAATTTATGCATCTTTTTTTCTTCTGCATAATGCACCATTTTAGAGCAAAAAGTTGGATAGGAAGTCTGCATCCTGTGAAATCTTGGAAGTGAAGAATAGATTAGTCTGCAGCCCTGCCTAGTTGAAGATACACTCAATCTTTGGAATAAAAAGCAGGGAGCTGTGTAGTTGATCCAAAATACAAATGCAAGAGTAGGCAGTAGGCAATACCTTTATAGACTTGTGATTGGATTCTTGTTTAAAGTCTAGCAGTTCCTCTATGACGCCATTAACCACAGGAAAAGTAACGTTATTAACAGAACAGTAACATCTCTTTTGCCACACACGTGTCTATTCTTGATAGGTCTCTTCTACCAAGTCTGTTCCTTTTGCCTCTTCCCCACAATCTCTCTGTAGTCCTTCATTATAATGTATCAGTTTGAGCACTCCTACCCAGTTGTGACCCAAGCCAGGGATAATCCCCACTTTAACCGGCGTCGTTCTCCTAGAATTTCTATATCAGCCCATGCAATCTCATACAGTTTCATATCTCCATGAATGCATCTAACCATCAAGTCCGTCCCTAGGCGCACCCCTTTTAAATCTCACACCAAGGTTTTCCCACAGCCAGTGTCTATTAATGCCTTCTTTGTTTCTCTGTTAACACAAGCCTCCACCTCATTCTCTGTGTCCCGACCCAAAGACCTGCATGGTGTCCACTTGTGGTTCAGCCCAGGAACAGTCGAACTCTTTAGGCCACATCCTAAGTACACGTCTTTCTGGTCTCACTTCTCTCGCCATCGGTTGGAGCCTCTAAGATTCTTGCATCTACCGTCACTGGTCGAACTGGTCTTATCCCTCCGGGACTAAATCCGCTTCCTCGACCTCTCTTCTGCACATTGGGGTTGATCACTCCGCATGGTGCCACACCCTGTGGATTCTCCTCTGGCTCATCCTCTGGCTCTCTCTTGGAAAGGGGAGGGACCTTCTCTTCCCTACTTGTCGGCATTATTGAAATCTTCCACTAGGCAGATAGTCTCTTCTAATCTTTTTGGATGATTCTTCTGTACCCAACTTTTTGTACTGCTATTTAAAGTCATTATTAACTGTTCCATGATGAGCATACCTAACAGCTGCTCTTTGGTCTTTTCTTCTAATCCATCACCTTAGATTTTCTTGCATTCTCTGTGTTAAGGGATGAGGGTGCATTCCCGGTTTGACTCTTAAGTGTCTGAACCATCTACATCAGGGGTTTTAAACTCAATTTACCTGGGGGCCGCTAGAGACAGAGTCTGGGTGAGGCTGGGCCGCATCAGATTTTCCGCCAAGCGGAGCAAGAGCCCGAGGAAGCCGCACAGGAGTTTCCTTAGCTGACAGACAGGTGGGCTGGCTGGCAGGCTGCAGTTCTGGATGGAGGGTGCAAGAGGTGCTGTCTTGGGAGAGAGCCGGCGAGTGAGGCAAGGCTTTTTTTTTTACTCTTGACAGCAGAGGATGTGTGGGCGCTTTGGGGGGGCGGCAAGGCGAGGGCCACAAACTATCATCTGGGGGGCCACAAATGGCCCCCGGGCAGCATGTTTGAGACCCCTGATCTACAGTAAGCTTCTTCTCTGAGGTTAAATGTGTGCAAGGTAGCTGACTTCACTGTTTCATCTTGGGCTGCTTCTTCAGGCATTAGTGCATCCGTGCCTTCTTGTAGGATCCCTGAGAGACATGGCATCAGTATGAGCATCCAATGTTCTTTTGGCCATCCCATCGCTGTCACCACCCTTTCAAAGGTGTGTAACTATACCTCTGGATCATCTTCTGGTCCCATCTTCTGAATATGGTTAGGCACGGGTCCTGCTACCCAGGAGCCTTCATTATTTCCTCCCTTTCCCTTCTTTTTTCAGTAATTGTCCCATAAACACTTTATGTTGTTCTGCCAACATCTCCATTAACTTTTCTTGCCTTTCCATCATGCATTGTAACTATGCTATTTTGGTGTCTCCATTAACAGGAATTGCCCCATGTTGGGCGCCATTGTGATTGGGTTCTTTTTTACAGTCTAACAGTTCCTCTTCTTTGACACCATTAACCACAGGAAACATAACATTATTAACAGAACCTTTACTAGCAGAAGAAGGGGATGAGTGTACAATAACTTCAGTGGGTCCAACAAAACTGTTTAACATAGGTGAACAAGTCCACAACGTAGATAATTCCATCTGATTAGGTACTTCTCTTAATGTGGTGACATCCCGAATCACTCCCTGTTGTTCGATATCCTCAGTGGAGTGCTCCTTGCTGTGCATATAGTCTCACAAAGTGGGCGGTATGCCCATTCTCCTTCTCAGGGTGTCTCTCCAGGAGGAACAGGCTCCTGTCACACCACCTTCCTCCATGGACCCTTCCCCTTCGGGTAGATGTAGACTGTCCATTCCAGTGGGCCTAGTTTCCCCAATTGTATCTCTAGACCGTTTGTCCTACAACCGTGTATAGGTTGACTTACCCTGTCCTTGCCTCTCTTCTCCCTTTTAGGGAAAGAGAACACATAAGGTTCCTCTTCTTCTTTCAGTCTTTCACCTTTTCTCTTTTCGCCATCCTCCTTTGGCTCTATCCACTTCTCTGACTTCCAACTCTTCTTTCCTGCCTTTTCCTCCCACTATGTTGTCATTAGGAAACCCTCTACTATTGGCTGTTCTTTTTCTGCCCTTTCTTTAACTGACTCACCCTCAGGAGATACCTCCTGCACCCCTGAGTGGTGTCACCCTCGCTTGCCTGAGACAATGGAGGGGACAGCTCAGTTCTAACAACGCCTGCTTTAATTGGCTCCTCTTTACAAGACCACTAATAATTTTTTAAAAAATCATACAATATGCGAGCTTTCATGGGTAAATCCCACTTCTTCGAGGCAAAGTACTAAAAGTCCAAATGTTCATGTCAAGATGGATTTTGCCAGGCGCTTTTAGATGTAAAATGTAAAAGCACGTATCTTGGTGAGATAGGCTTTCCATGAGGCATTTAGTTGGCTGCCATGAGAACAAGGATCTGGACTAGGTAGGTTTGTCATTGTATCCAGCAAGGTTCTTTTTAATTTCTTAGGTTTCCCTCCAGTGCTCAACTTGTAGCTTTAACCTACTTAAGATAATATCACGTGGATATTGAAAACTGTGGGTAATAAGGTAATAGTGGATAATATTTTCCTTAACTAAACTTGACTAAAATGTGTGTGTGTGTGTTTGTGTGTGTGTATAAAACCAAGAAAACATTATTTTCATATACAGTACCAGAACTTGACACTAGAGAGTGCTAGGGATCGTGCTATGTATTCTTCACTAACAAGTATTCATAGCATGGTCTCTGGCTCTATCTTGTGGCCTCTTATGGTAATACACGTGAAAATAGTTTTTTTCTGTTTTCAGACTGTGAATAAGTTAAACCATGGATACAGATCCCATGGATATGAGGTCCTACTTTAAACTTTGTTCTTCTTTGTGTCCTCTGTGAATACACACAAATGGGTTCTGCGCCTGCGCTGAATGTCTCGAAGGTTTCTAGAGCTTAAAGACACATGATTAGTGGGACGTTCCACCATAGAGCGCATGCTCCGCCCATTCTAGATCTCCGTTCCTTTTTTTCCACCTTGTCGTTTAGACGTCCTTCGGAAGAATAGAGCGTTTGTTAGTTGAGACTTTACATCTATCGTACAGTGGTGCCTCTCTTGGCGACGATAGTCCGTTCCAGCAAAATCACTGTAGAACAAAATCGTCATCAAGCGAAAGTAAAAAGCCCATTGAAATGCATTGAAAACCGCTCAGTGCATTCCAGTGGGCGAAATACCTCAGCGTCCAGCGAAGATCCTCTATAGGGCAGCCTGTAAAGCAAAAAATCCACCCTAAACACAGCGGGGAGCCATTTTGAAAACCTGACAATCAGCTGTTTGATCGTCGTAAAGCGAAAAATTGGTTCCCGAAGCAGGGTATCTATCATCGTCAAGTGGATTTTCCCTATTTAAACATCGTTTTGCGATTGCTATTGCGATCACAAAAACCTCATCATTAAGCAATTTTGTCATGGAGCGGGGTAATCGTTAAGCGGGGCACCAGTAGTTCAGTCTTCAAATTTTACCTCTTTCTTTCTTTCTTTCTTTCTTTCTTTCTTTCTTTCTTTCTTTCTTTCTTTCTTTCTTTCTTTCTTTCTTTCTTTCTTTCTTTCTTTCTTTCTTTCTTTCTTTCT